CTCGTATAGTAAGGAGGTTCCTATCTTTGGAGTCCTAACCACCGGTGTCTTGGTCCCTGTACCCGATGTTGGTGGTCTACTATCTTTTATATTTTTTAATGTATTTTTTTTTCTTTTGTAATATATTTAAAAATGTAATATATGTAAATATAGTATAATAAAGAGAATAATAATATACTTCACACAACTCACACACGGCCGTCTGATCCCAAAATAAGCAAAGCCTGTGCTATAGTAAACAGACTGCTGATAAACATACTTATATATTTTTAAATACATACATATTATAGACAAATTACACCAGACACAGAACAACTGATCGTGCTCATCACACAATACTATAATATCCTGGGTGGGATTCGAACCCACGATTTCCGACTTAGCAGTCAGGGTCACTAACCAATAGACCAACAGGCCCGTCAGGCCGTGTTTAACTTAATACTTGAAGTAAATAAAATATGCATAATACTTTCTAATAAGTCAGTACTGAATTTTTTTAACTTTGTTTGTATAAACTATTAAAAACATTCAAGTGGCGCAGAACGTAGCTTAAAGCTTGTAAGAACCTAGATTTCAAAAATATTAATAAAAAAGAGGAATATATTTTTATCTGGGTCCTTAATGTACTTTAATTTGCCCTAAATTTAAAATATTAATTGAAGTCTAAACATAATTGTGTTGCATTCTCGAGGGTTGCGGTTGGTATAACTTGCGAAAGCCCTGAGAAAAGTTGTGCAAGTGCTTCGTTTCAGTTGACACTGGACACAGATGTAAACAGTTTTGTTTCGCAGACTGTGACGTCATTCAAGACGCCATGACACTATTCAGCGTGTTCAAGGGATATTAAAATTGTTTTATTTAAATACAAAATACGTAATGTAAATATTTCTTTTTCTTTAAAATATAGGTTTTTTTGGGATAAAATAGATATTAAAGTATATAATTAACCAAATTTTCAAATTGAGTCAACTAGCCTATTGAGTAGCTCAGAACAATTAGGACTTATGTTTAACTGATAAGAACCAGTAGACCTCGTCATCTTTAACTTTTAAAATAAGGGCATGATTAATATAATTATGGCAAAATAACAAATTAAATTTACCACAAATTAATATTAATAGGAATAGAATAAGGAAAATAAATAATTGTTTCTGGGAACAATCAACAGGTAAATTTAACCTTTAACTGTCCTTAACCGTACATAACATATTTACATGTGTTTAATCAGGTTTACTTAAAACATTATTTACCTCACAGGTAGCAATTATGTATATACAAATACACGATCACTAATATCAAACTTAAGTTTATTCTAATTTATAATAAAATTTATGCAATAGGATTTGACTTGTGAGTAGGACTGTTTTATTTAGTGAAAATTAAACAACGATCATATTATTTGAAAGAGGTAAAAAGTAAAAAATAAATGGTTATCGAATTATTCATTTATATAAATAAAATTGGACCAGCGATGTAAAATGTTATCAAATGCTGTTTCTGTCTTTAAAGAAAGAGCTATATTTCAGGATTTTTAAATTTGGCTTAAAGAAATTTAAAGCATACCTGTTCAAAGCGTTCTATTCTAAGTATTCGAGTATTTAAAACTGTCATTGAATTGTGCCATTCTATTCTCAAGTATTTGATCTTCTTCGATGTTCATCTTAGATTTCGTCTACTTTTATCTATTACTTAAAATGATTATTCTATCTATGGAGTTTAGAGGGGTATTCGTCATTATACGTTATACAGCCAGTGTATATCACTATCCTACACAGTACACACAAGTATCGTCGTGAATACGTTATGTAGTCTCAACCTTCGTGAACCTTTTTTTATATTAAGTAAATTTATAGTTAACAACATTGAACCTAGAGACTACTTTTGCCTTATCAAGAAATAATAGGAACTTTTAGGAAATGCAAATAGAAACATCGTCTTTTATATCTGTTTATTTTTCCATCACATCAAGTGATGAGTAAATTACTTAGACAGTTTGCGTGTTGTAAAACTTGCGAAGACTGCGTGAGAAAAATGTTCCCGCCGCATGACCGCCATATTGGAGTGTTTTATTTTTGTATTCATAAATTACACACTAAGATCACCGCGTGTTAAAAAGTGAGATGATAAAATGTTTATTTTAGGTTGTTTAGTTTTGGTCAATAAATATGTTTAAAACAAAACCGGTGAACTAGTTAAGCGGTAAAAATATTATGCTTTTTGGTTTGATCAGCTGTAGAAGTACAAACTATTTACTATAAGTAAACTTATTTGTGGTAAGTTCGCTGTGCCAACGCTGAGTTGAATCATGATTTTCGAGCCGCGCGCGCCTTATGTCTCGCTACAGCACAGCCTAGGATTGGTCACTGTTGAATGTAGGCTTCACTAACAGCAGATTTTTTATTTTGTACTTTTAATACAATTGCTGGATTTCAAATAAGCATTTAATTTTACTAATGCAAATGTACTGTCTATACATTTTAATCCATAATAAAAATTGCAAAAACTAAATTTTTGTGTAGGTCCAAACACGTTGATTACAAAATTGTTTTTAAATTTAACTTGACATCGCAGACCGACGTTCAAACAGAATTATTGAAATACTTGAAATCATATTAATTCCGTGAAGGGAGCGTGTGTTTATTTAGATCTACATCTCTGTAAAGCCGTAGGGAATGCTTTTCACATGTAAAATGACAGGAATTTGAATCTTACTCTAGTTTCTTACCATTCTCCTATAGTGTCAACCCCATACTAAAGCGAACATAACTTTTCGTTTAATCACCATTATCACCTTATGAAGTAAGGACATGCGTAATAATTAAATTCGTCATGTGTATTGCAGATATTTTTTCCATAACGGAATTATTACAAGTTTACTTAAAGTGTAGGCAAACAGAAATTAAGGATTTATAACAAATTGATTTGTTTGACCGATCACAGATTCTTGCATTGTATTGCGTTATTGCATTGAATTATTTTTGCGTTTAAGCGTAAAGAATGGTCACGACAATAAAAAAACTCGTTTTGTTCAGTAAGCTACTACATTCAGGTGCTTATCTATGTGCATTCGTTCCGCAAGCTTCGCTTTCGTCGTGCGCGATCACAAGCTTGATCTCATTCGCTCCTTGCCTCTGTATTCACGACATCCGGTATTTTATTTTGCATTTCTTTGAACACGGTACAACGAACTTATTCCAGGCTTGTATGTAGCACAATTATTGTGGTTATGTTCTACAAGTTCTACTTATTTTTAAATTCTGTTTTTTGCACGTATTTTGAGTAAAATTATTTTTTCCGTTCTAATTGTTTGGTTCTAACTTCGAATGCTATTTGGTGTTTGTTCCAACTTGTGAAGTAGCGCTCCTGGTGTTTATCAGTAATATATTGTATTGAAAAGCATAATTTATCATAATAATAATGACGTTTAGATATGAAAAATAAATAAACATTTAACTTAATGGTTAGGAGATTGACAGAAAAGAACAAGTCTGCGTGCTTTACTGGTAAAGCAGGAAAGCTTAACTTTCTTCTTTGGTGCATGTTATGAAGCAGAAACAACAACGTTTTAAGTGATATAAGTATTTAAATTAAACATTTTAAGTGCGATGAGGAATAAAATTGAGGAAAGAACATGTTTACAGATGTCGTTACATAACCAAAACATGCCCATCGTTGATTTCCATATAAAAATCGTAGTAAGTAAGTAATTTTAAACGATATAAGTGTACTTGTAGATAAAAACTATGTGAGGCAACAAATTTTCTATGTGGCTTTAGTTCTTAAAGTAAAAGTCTTATCTTAATTTTATCTAAAGATTGATTTTCCTTTGTCCACAAATATTAGTTGCACATAAAAAAAACTAAATAAACGTTATAAATATTAACATATATAAAAGGATCGCAATAAAAAATAGAGGATTATTAAAGAGTTAATCGTCTTTTCATTTTATTTAACTTTTTATATATTCTATGACTTTACGGAAATAAGTTCAACCTTGGAATTGCAATAAAATAACCATGTAAACTTCAAAGTTCATGTGCAAACCATTGCGGCATGAGTCAAGCCCCCACCGAGTTCTGCGAGTTGTAATAAAATGTTAGGCACACACGCGTACTTTAATTAAATTATACTGATTTGTATGTCATAAGCTAATTGCGGGTGAATGTTGGCGAGGGCGACTAAATTTATTCGCACGACAGCCATTGCTACCACTCCTCGCACACAAACGGTGAACACACATGTTGCCCTAATATTATTCCTATTTTCCACTATACTACACTACACTATATATATATATATATCCACAAGTCAGTCGACATCCACATAGCTAGCAACTAGCTAGCATATCACATATGTATTCAACAACAAATAGAAAAGTGTGGTTTTCTAAAATCACGTTACTTTTTGTGTATCGCCGTAGATCACATATATCATCGATTTATTTAAATGATAAACAATAATTTGCTCATACCGTCCATATAATAATAATAAAATATACTATACACATGCCTTCTTTAAATTCGTTCGATACAACTTTCCATTGGTTACTGTTAATGCACAATCTTATCGCTCTGATAAAACAAAACAGTTCACTTATTTCGATCAATACTTATGTGCCTGTTACACCCACCTATCTACAGCTCTACTTATAACAAGTCAAATATCTTGCTAGATATCAATATGATTTTGTATGTTTTTAAACATTTATTTCTCAATTAGCATGGTTTTTATACTCCAACAATTATGTGATTGTGTACTAGAATGAATAATTTAATACAGTTATTATCACTACACATCAGTGAGTAATCAAAAGTGAGCTCTTTGTTTCAATTAACGGTTGCAAAGTGTGAAATGACATTGAAAAGGGATTACTAGAAGATACACAGTGCATCGAATGGCGGCGGTAATGCGGCGAGTCGACTTTGTGGTGGCCAAAAGGCGTTAACGCAGCGTGCATCCGCCGCGCACCACCCGCGCCGCGTTCGCACCATCATTGCGCCATGTCGAGTGCGCTATCTCCGAGCGCCTCGCCAGCTGCCGCCGGCGACGAGCAGACGCGACGTCGCTCCGTCTTCTATGTGCCATTATTCGAGAGCTTCGACAATTACTTGCCCTTGACGCCAGAAGAAAAAGAAGCTCTAATAACAGGACAGACTATTGAAAGTGTCTCTACAAAAACTAAAAGACGGAATGCGTCAGAATTGGGTAGATTGCGAATTCCTTCTCGCGGTGATTCATCATTTACGGAAAGTGAAAACGATATGAGTGCTTTTAGTCCAGAACGGCGATGTCGTCGGCCTTTGTCATCGACGGCGAGTTCTAACGAGGCGCTGACAAGATTAGGCCATCGCGACTTGACGAGTCCAAGACTTGTCGCCCAAAGCTCTCTTTTAAAGAATACTAAGCCTAGATTACGAAGTACAACTACTTGTGAACCTCGATACGATAGAATATTTACACCGATAGGAGGCTCGATATCGTCAAATAAATTAAATAGCTCTACAACAAATATTATAAACAAATCACCTTCGAAAACTTCAATTATGAACTCCAACTTATCACTTATACCTGACTCACCGAAACTATTATCGCCTGCAAAGGAGAAATCAAAAACGTTACCACAAAATCTCAACATGCCATCCCCCATTAGAGGTAGCAGTAGTTCTACATCCATATTTAGAACACCACGAATAACTGTTACCCCTGATAGTCCTAATAAAAGCCCAGGAAAAATGTCTGGGCTAAATTTTATTCGGCGATCTCGGAGTACAAAATTGTCGCGAAGCAATTCTCTATTACGAAGTATTACTTCCAGACACATAGAGGAAGGCTTAGAAGAACATGCGGCTATTGTAACATACTTAACAGAAAATTACGACAAGTTCGTAGATAGCAATGGAGGTGAATCAGAAGTAATATGTGCTTTGATTAAAAAAAATGAAGCTCAAATAGCGAACAGTCCTATGAGTATTCGAAGGGCATACCTTGATGTCGACGACGATGTTGCTGTACATTCTGGTAAGGCATATTTCAACACTCATTCAACAATATTCTAACCTTGAATAAATTATAATTTACTTCCGATCGGTGTCTATACAAACGCCATAATTTATATCGCAATAGAAACAGCTCGTTAAACTTCGTTACGTGGAGTGAAATATTTAGGCCTGCGTTTGTTTGGCATTGATCGTCAGAATAACCAACTATAAATAAATAGGATCCTTTCTAATATGAATCAGATAAGATTATTAAAAACGCATTAAAACAAATTGATAGTTATTGTAAATTACCCTACAGTACAAATTATTGTAACTTGTAACTTACATAACAGCTGAGACGATAAACAGTTGTAAGCCCTTGTCTATGCTAGCTATGTCCTTTATAATGAATGACTCTCATAATTTTAAACCGTAGTAGTTCAACATGTGACCTATTTTGCTGTTCTGAACAATACACAGTTTATAATTACAGAGCAAGGATCTAATGCTGAAGGGTCTTGGTCTTTGTTTCCTGACGACATCATATATCATGTCTTTAAGTTGGAATTACTAAAATTGTAAGTCATCTTGTTAAGTGTCTAATGATAAATGATAGTTTAATATCGTTACGACAAAGACATGAGACATTCGAGTGGAAAATTAAATATCATCTTTTTTATATCTTCAAAGAGGTAAACAAGCATCATTCCCATACAAGTATAAGTGAAACGCCACAGATAACAGAGGCAAAACAAGCGTGTTATTGATTTGTAATAACAGCGATATCAGAATTAGTAAAATATAAATTTGACATTAAAAACTTTTGCTTAACTGCGACTTAACAAAGTTAATTATTATTTTATTTTTCATTTTCATACTTCAAGCATAACCCTATTATACTTACTACTAACTTACTCGATATCCCCTTCAGTAATTTCCGCCGCTGATTTATGAATGCGGGAACAGATTTTATTGAATTGAAGCTAAGAATACTCTCGACCAAGTCACCTTTAAAAACCTCAATCAAAATCATCCGTTACGATCGTATGACTCTAAGGACAAACACAGGTGCACATATATGTGTATTTAACCACATTAAACTTATAAAATTTTGCGTCGTTGGTTAAAATTACTAACTAACTAACGTCTATTGCAACGCTGTATGATGTCAACGACACGATGTGTGAAGAAACAGATGTTAGTTACAATCCATTTTCGTTATTACTTCGGTTTACACGATCGTACAATTTGAATTAGGTTAGATATTGTTCGGCTACACAACATGTGCCGATATTACAGTATTAGACAATGTAAAAGTCAACCGTGAAGAAAGCATATCTGGCGTTCCTATTTCAGACCAGTTACAATCTATGTAATAATAAATAAATAAATAATCTATGGTAAAAACGTAGTGTAATAAATTCAATCATCATCATCAACAGCCTTTAGTAGTCCACTGCTGGACATAGGTTTTGGCCTATTATACCCTTCTGGCCAGACGGGTTTGTGTTGTGTTTTCGAGTTTTCCTTCTCTTTGCAGTACTATTGTCCTGCGTAGTTCCCTCCCTTAGTCGGCTCTTACGCCTCCCACGGTATAAATAGGGGTAGTGGCACTCCGTATTCTTAATCCGTCACTACACCACTACGGCCAAAATAAATTCAAGACATTTGACTTGTACAAGATTTTATTAAAATGTTATATTTAGATAAAAAAATAAATTATAGTAAACAAATTAATTTACACATTCAAATCAAAACAAAATATATGTTATAAGGATAAGATAATATGATACTTTTACTTTCACTACATCTGGGCAATGGTTCATTGAACCTAAAAAAGCGGGAAACTGTTCTTTAGTATCCCGGCTAACTTGTCAAAAGAATCTTTAGAATGCTTAAACCAATTACTTGTTGCATTTAAATACAATTATTTTAAAAGCGTCCTGACCAAGAAAGATTGTTCCGATACTCTGCATTCATTACGCGTTATTCGATAAGGTGCTGATAAGAGACGACGGGGAAGTGCAATGATTAAGCGGCTCGCGATAGCGACGCCATATTACCTACATTCCTATTTAAAAAATAAACATTAGCATTGTTTTACAGGTAACCGATTTTTATTCTGTAACGCGAAACCTTGGGTTAAAGATGCGTGACGAATTTTTGCAGAAGACTTTTTTATTGCTTAGAACTGCTGAAATCAACTGATATTTTTTTTGTGTAAATCGGCATCTCGCAAGTTAGTAATATTCTGAAAGATGAAATATCCTGAGGAAAGTAGCAACATACGAGTATCATCTAATGATTTCTTTAGTATTAAAATTACAAACGTGACCTAAAATTAATGACCTAAACGCCGAATGAGAAAATTAGTCACCTCAAGCTCGCAAGCTAAAAAAAAGAATAGAGCATAATGTATATTATCTTCGTCTTCGTCTTCGTCGTCGTCCTGCTTGGCTAGATTTCCTAAATAAGTATAATGTTGTCGTGGGACAACATTATACTTATTTTAGGAAAACTAAGGACATTTTTTTCTTTTGTTATTTACTATGTAGTCGGTTTTTTAGTGTTCTGCGTTACAAGAGCTAAGCTTCGCATAATTCACGACTATTTCTGAAAATTTCCTAAGAGAATTACAACACAAAGGAATCTAAGTCAGGAACTCACAAAAGCGTAACTTTGTCACGGACAAGAAGCAATGTTAAAATTATTTCAAGCTACACTACTAACAAGTTACCTACAAAATGATGAGAATTGCCAAAGCCCTCGTGATGTAAATAATTGAAAATGCTAGAAGGGTGATGTACTCGTACGTTACAAAGTTAGTAGTTCTAAAACATCAAGTTTTAGGTAGTTTTTAATACTACAGTTAATATCAATATTGAAATAATTCTCTTTGAAATTGAAATACTTCTGTGTTGTTAAATATCTATAGATACTAATATACAAATCAGAAGAGGTTATTGTTGCATTGTTTGTTTACGTTAAAGAGATACACTCTTTAGGGCAGTAATGATAAGAGTTTTTACACGCGAAAAAAGGGATGTTGATGTATACATACACAATATTCTATATAGTCCACCTTAATAGTTATAAAGTGCTTGCAACACGTATCACCAACTCAAAATATCTAATGTTTGATTAGTCTTGTTAACCACCTGGGCTTATCAGCTTAAATAAGTACTACAAAAAAACTGAACAAATACAGATTGCGAAATATTAATGCATTTTTGGGACGCGGGCATCATAATAATGTTGTTCATTTTTGTTTGTACGTTGTCGACGCATGCGCAGCGGTCACGGGCGGCGTGCGCGCAACTTCCGCCGGAAGCCACGCCGTACTTGGCCACTGCTATGTGGTTGATATCATATCACATATCTATTCATACAATGTCTGTAATACGAAACATTGCAAATGTGACTGCTATATTATTGAGAACCCAGTCGCTTCAATCACGACAGTTTCTTTACAAGGTTAACCATAAATCAGTGCCAATTAAATATCTGTCCAAATAGACATAAGGCACAATTTTTTATTTCTCTCGGACTGTATGGTTTGTTTCGTTTTTATAAATTATCTGTATCTTCTAGAAACCTGGTATATTTCTTATTTAACACTATAATAAATGTTCATAAATACATTATTTCATAGTTTGTTTATTTTGTTACAGACACGTCATATGAGAAGGCATGTCGTCGCGGGTCAGCACCAAGCACACCAGTGCCAGGCGCTCAAGCGCAGCACAGTCCCTCGCGCTTGGCATCATTTTTCTTCTCCAAGCGGTCCTTCAGAAGCAACCCACTCAAGAGGACCAAGTCAGCGACGAAATTGGAGAGGGAACGTGCTTTGGCTGCTGTCCCTACGCACCCACCTACCCATGCCTTACGGACATCGAGGTGAGTTTCTGATCTTAATGAAGATCTAGTTCTCACTCGTCACTAACTATTTATTAATATATATACTGTAGGTGTAACCATAAAATTGAGTGGCACGATCGGTGTAAAAGTATATTTTATAAAAACGAGTGACGCGGAATAAAAGTTAATGAACCATTGCTTATTTGTAATATATATTTTTCCTCTGAACTTTATCAGTGCAGTCAGGTATACCACAAACCAAAAATGATTTAATGTAAAAAATACCTCTGCATATTTTTTATGAATTTACAAAAAAAAATATAAACATGTATATTTTTACAAATTCGTAGGTATGTTTAAGCTCGCAACTCTTTTCAGTTATGAAAATTAATGCCAAATATATTATCATTTTTTAAAGTAATTATTAATGATTCCATAGTTAGATGTTTTTTCAGAAATTATATAACAATAAAAAATTTGAAAACATTTGGTTTTAGTCGATGTGGCCCAGGTGGTGTTAAGAACTTCTCCATTTTGAAAAAAATATTTTGATAGTTTAACCACAAAGGTTATACATATATTAGGCTTTACAATTATTATTTTTCGATTTGTTTCTGACATTATACTGAGTCACAATAATGCCGTGGTTGTTTTTCATTCTATTTATTATGCATTGATATAATACTCAATGTGGAACAAAAAAATTATGGAACAAAATTAGTTCATAAAACAATGTGTCAAGTGTACCTGGTTTATATCGTGACAATGTAACGTTATCCAGGTTGTAAAAGTACGGTGTCATAATTTAATATATAGGAGTGTCGCCCTACCCTGTCTGCTGGTATTTACGCAATGTTCTTAATTACTTCCGAACGCAAACACGACTACTTCATGGAGACCTAATTAAATAGTTATCCACATACTGCCAATTAACGGCAGCTAAATATAAACATGAACCTATATGTATGGAAACTTTTGTTAGACAGGTGAAAGCTTTTTCTTTTACATTGATGTGGGCAGAGGAAGGCCTTTACTCTATTATTATTACACATTGCAATAGTCATATATGTAGTAAATATGCAAATAAAGTGTAAATGTACACTGATTGAAACAAAGCGTTTCAGTGAAAGCAATAAGTAACCAATAAAAGCTGGTTTTCACGAAATTGGTTAGTGAAAGAAATTATTGCTTCATAAAATAAAGGAACATTCAAACCTGCATGATAGTTCCAGAGATTAGTGTGTTTCAATAATCATACAAGTAAAGATCACATCAAGTTTACTATATGATTAACATTTATTAACCGTCTCAATGAAACATTACATTTTATGTCTTCGTTGTAAATATGTATTGTACACAATTATAAAGCACAGGAGCTTCTTTAACAAAAAAAGAAGACTCAAAGAAAACTCTTGACTTATATTTTTCCTATGACCTATTTCCTATGATAAGAGAAATCTATTATCATGGTTACGTTACACATGTACTAGGTATACGAAAACCTGATGTGTGGCCTTTACAACTCAATTTGTGGGATATCGATGGCAAGGCTAAAGTTATCAGAAGTTCAAAGGCTTCCTGCTGACGTAGGTAGTAAATATCACCAATATTAGCATAACTGCATGACTCCATACTAAAAGTAAAAGTAACAGCATTCGCTGCAAAACAAAAGGCATTTATAACATTTATAACTCACATCAAAAAACTTTGCACTTCTAATCGATATTGGGAAATATACTACATCATAGGATATATACACGAAAGGAACTGTTAATTGATCGATGCTGAATATATTTAAATCTGCTTGTTTCAGATCTCATGAAAGCCTTCTATCAGCGCATTCACCCGCCGTCTCTACCATGGATTTGGGACCACCCAATCAAGTGCGTATTCTTTAAAATATAGCCTTTATTTTATAGTCAACCGATATCATTAAACACATATCAACACTCACAAAAACTACAAAAATTACTTTTATTCTCTAGTATTTGTCATTTTACATTTAGATAACATTGAACATGATAGGAAATTATGACTTCCGCTTGGATTTGGACAAATATAAAAAGTGATAAAGTGTTGAAGGTAGTTTCTAGAATGCGTTTTATTATTTCGTGAATTAAGGGATAGCCTGTTCCATCCCTGTTAAGATTAACCAGCGCCTCGACAAAGTAAATATTATTTGCGGACTACTTACATTAGCTCAGAATTACACTATCATTAATAAACGCCCCAACTATTGCATTAAGTATGTATCTCATGTCTGAACCATTCACTGAACAATTCTCATTTTGGTGGTTCTAGAAGAGGAAAATAATGTTCGTTTTCAAGTTATGTCAAGATTCATTTAATTGTTACAGCGTTTTCTTTTGATTGAGAAATCAAGCCGAGATAAAAGGTAGATAACAAACAGCACACGTATTTACCATACTTTGTTGTAATGAACATTTAAAATGCGCAGTCAGAAAAATATATCTAATAGATAATCTTTTTCATTTGGTTATCCCATTTATAACTTTTCGAATTTTTTAATTGTATATCTTTAAATCGATGTTAATTATTTCTAAATCAGTATAAAAAGTCTTTCGTTTTTCGTTATGATTGAAAGTGATATTCCTTTAAGTTGAAATAAATAGCATCAAATTATTTTAATTCCAACTTAGAGTACTAAATTAGTTAAAGATGTATAATAGATTCGCCATTTAAGTCCTCAGTTAGAACATTAACAATCAATTGTAGTGTAAAATATGTATATGAAACGTGGGCAATATAATGTATTGGAATGTATGTACTGTTTACTTTTTTTTTAAATTTAAAGCCTAAAACTACGTCTTAAATGCAACCGAGTGTTTTTTTTCAATCATCACTAATTAACTCGTTTTCAAGCTGACAAAAAGAAAACAAGTGTTAATAGATAGACTTACGACAAATGATATAATAAATGTTACGGAAAATGCGCTTATTGATAGGTAACATTGAAACGTCACTATGTCATCGACTGATTTGAACCAGGACAATTGACCTCCTTTAGTATGTCACTTTTGAAACGTACGTAACAAATCTCTTTGTACATGTAACATCATTGTTGTCGAGGTTTTTAAATGAAAATACACTGAAAAACTTAAAAAATATTGGCATTTTTCGTAATTTTGTTTGTCATATTATGGTCGGAGAGAGTACGAGATGATCGGAGTGTTAAAGATATGAGCTTAAGATTCTATAGTTAAAATTATAACTTACGATAAAATTTGAGGACCTCATTAGTTAAACTAGGTATTCAAGGTACTAATTCTTACTGTTTCTAAAAACTGTTTTCAGGTAGAAATTCGTTCTTTACACTCGTCGGTGCTAGGCAGGCCACACTGCTTCGCACTTAGTGCAGAGAACAGAGCACCGAGATACTTTGCCTGCGCCTCACGGAGGGAACGAGACCGATGGATATATAGGTCAGTATAAATAATAATCAGTTGATGTTATATCTAACTAACAAAAAATGTCATAGAGTAAACCACCATTACTTCATAAAGTGTAGCAGAGTTGAGTATTGTTCGGTTTAGAGCGAAAAGTGATTAAAACTAATCTATGGTAATCTAAGCTGCAGTAATAATCAGATTAATGATAAAAAGAAAAAAGAATCCTTTATGCCCTAGCAATGAAGATATTCAGAGGAAAAGTTACTCTTTGCGATACCATTGTATTAGGTGATGTAGCGAAATCCTCAAGAAAGACTTAAGCTCTTTTTTTCTAGGAACACTCATACAAATTAAGTTTTAAAAGCAAAACCTTTATAAGTACAAAATTTGGCACAAGAACTGCTCTTAGAAGTTTAATAATACTAATAACTAAATGGATATGAAAAGTTACGATTCAGTTAAGAATTTATCATTCGAAATGAACTACTGAATTTATTTTGTTATGACATGCTATTATATCTATCGTAGTTTATGTAGTTCTATGACCTATCACAATAGAGGATATTTTTGCTCTAATAAATGTAATACTTTCCAGCTTGCGACAGGCGGCGCGACCGGATGAGTTACGCACGCGCCGATGTGAGCGAACAGTTAAACTGTGGCTGTTAGAAGCCAAAGCGATACCACCTAAGAAGAGATATTATTGCGAGATTCTTTTAGACGACACGTTATATGCTAGGTAAGGCGATTCTTCCACATAACTTACATGTATAAGGTTAAAAGTTACTTCTCATACTTTCTATATTAACTTATAAACTAAATTATTGAAAAAGGAGAAGCATTTCACGTCACGACAAAAAGCTAAATGAAAATCACTCTGATAATTATTAATTGGTGAAAAGTAAACTTTAAGAATGGTTGAATTAGCCAATTAATTACATTATTTTTACACGAATATTGCAACGTTCTGTACCATCCGTTTATTATAAGGTCTTGGTTTTTTTGTCTACATTTGAATATGATTTAAAATATTTTGCTAATATATTTACAGGTCATCATCAAAATTAAAAACAGACCTGTGCTTCTGGGGTGAGGTGTATGAGTTTGGCGGTCTCCCCGCAGTGCAAGCGATACACGTCAACGTCTACAGAGAGCCAGAGCGACGTTCACGTAAGAGAGATAAACACGCGCTTGTTGGTAAGTACACAACATACGTACATAAATGGAATTGATATCCATTTAACAGCAACAATGTAATCCTGTAAGTTTACAAGAGAGAATGAAATGTGTAAAAACTACAGGCGAGTTGTTCCATTACATGCCAATATCAATCAAACCTTCAAAGCTAAACTACGTACTATGTGCGTGCGTGCATACAGAAGCCCTATCAGAGTTTATGATAGGCCTAACTAACTGTAACATACCGATCCTGCTTAACTGCAGACGATTGTGTCTCTTTGCATTATGATGCAGTATAGAAAGTAACTTACAGAAAGGTTATTACAGAAAAGGCTAGTTACTATCATCAAAACTTTAAGTTTTAAATTATTATTTTCGTCGATCAAAGAGAAAAAGGTAATTTACTCCTAAAAACTACTAAAATGATTTGGCAGTTGGTGAGATTGTAGAACTCATGTTACTTAATTGCAAACAAATAATAAAATTTATTAAATAAATTCGATGCATGTATGTTAATTCAATGTCAACGTGTTGGCTTATGATAATATCTTTAAGAGCTCCAATCAAAGGTACACAAGTTTTATCAAAATCAGTTATTTCATTGTGGTTATTCTTTTCTCCAAAATAGTCATATGTCGACTAATGTCTGCGCAGGTACAGTACGTATCCCGGTTGACGACGTATCCTCAAGGTACCTCAACGAGCGATGGTACCCGCTGACCGAGACGGAGAAGGCGTCGCCCGCGGCGCCTGCGCCCGCGCTGCGCATTAAATGTCGGTACCAGAGCGTCGACGTGATGCCGATCGACCACTACGCGAGGTTCCTCGATTACCTCAAAAGGAACTACAGACGGCTTTGTGAATATTTGGAGCCTGTTATCGGTACGTTTTTTTGGTACTTTTCTTTTAGCACAGTATAAAAGATTATAAAAAAAGGATAGTTTAGACTGTATATTACAATGTAGATTTTTCTCGTTCCTAGATGGATGATATCCTCTATTGTTCTCTGTATCCCCGGAAGTTTCACAATGATCAGTTAAGTAGTTAGGGGGGTTAGTAGTAGGGGTAGAAATATAACAAATAAACAAACAAACCGACATTCGCATTTATAATATTAATATGCTTTGTGTCCGTGTAATGTATGTTTGTAAAGTCTCCCGCAACACGCGGGATTATCAAATATTGCGTTTAAACCAATAAAGACTTAAACAAACATAAATTAAATTTGTAGACAATTATAGTAGTATACGTTAGTATTCGATGGATTTTTAAAGAGTAAACTATTTTTTTTAGTAACAAAACAAAGAGTAAAAAACAGGAAGTGTTTTTTGTTAATAGGAACTCGCATGTTAAATTTCCTGAGTAATTTTTTTACATTTAATTAAGCGGTCATACAATGAAACTATAGTCAGATGTTTTTTGTAGGGTTTGTATACCTAGAGTATAAATAACAATGAATCACGCAATTTGAAAAATAATCACTATATATGAATGAAATGAGTTTATTATATTTTTGTAAATATAGCTCAACTTAAGAATGTATGAAATATTTCAGGTGTAAAAGCGAAGGAAGATATAGGATGTGCGCTGGTGCTGTGCATGGCGGGCGCCGGGCTGGCCCCGCGCTACCTCGCGGACGTCGTGGCGCTGGACGTGCGCCGCACCGGCGACCACTCGCTCACCTTCCGAGGGAACTCGCTCGCCACCAAGAGCATGGAGGCTTACCTCAAACTTGTCGGAGATCAGTACCTGCAGGTGACTTTTTGTACTATTAACATATGAACCGATTAGTTGAGGGGTGCATGAATAATTTTAAATACGTTTTTAAGGATATGGTTACAGTTTTATCGTGAACGGGTGGCGTCGATTGTGCCTTTCCATCGCTTGTTTTCTGTAATTTGAAGACTAATGTTCAGGATTCTTCATAATTTATTAACATTATCTTATAACTTTTCACTTATACGAAATGGTTAAAAACAAATTGTTGAGTTGAGTTTTTGGCTTGTTTTTCTTCATAGGATCTACGTACTGATATAGCAATTAGCTTTACCATTTATACTTCTGATGAAAAATTTATATCTTCTATAATAAGTTAAGGGAGCGGACTAATACCGGTCACAACTTACCGCCATCGTTCCACACGAACACCACTTTGATAATAATTGGCATTCCACTGTTGTGAGCGCACAACATTGGAATGCCAATTAACTAAGTGGTGGGGATCGAGCGTTACAAGTTATCGTCTGCAGTAATTCCGGACCGATACGACCTTCAGATCGTCGCTTTCCATCAGGTGACCCGTCTGCTCGTTTGCCCCCTCTTCCATAAAAAGAAATAGCGAATGAAATATTTTCCCAGAATTTATTTGATTTGTTTACAGGTACCTAGTAAATAAGTTTTCGGTACTGAGTGTTTTGTTGTAGTTTAAGCATATTATATTAAGCGCGTGCGTGTGCAGGAAACGTTGATGGAGGCGGTAATGATGGCGGCGGGCCCGGGCGCGGCGGAGTGCGAGGTGGACCCGCTGCGCGCGGGCGGCGCGGGCGCGCTGCGGCGCCAGCAGGGGGCGCTGCGCGACGCCGTCACGCTCGCCTGGCGCTCCATCGCCGCCTCCGCTGACAGGTTCCCGCCGCCGCTCCGGGACTGCTTCGCCACGTTTAGGGAAAGGTACCTACCGCCACCTCCTACTTTTTGGATTCTTTAGGAAAACAATAATAAATAAATTACGACTTCTTGCATTGCCTTCTTACCTTGACTGTGACTCGAGCTGTGGACTATTCCGGCGTCTAACTGACTGACCCTGACTGAACACTGAGTAGTATTAAATTATGAATAAAACACAGTAATGTTACAGTTAAAAATATAATAAAAATTAAATGAAACGAAAAATAAACCTAGTTATAAACGTGAGCATCTGATAAAATATCTGGTTGCACAAAATAAAAATGAATTGAACTATCTGTGCGATGAACAGAAATTTAAAAGGTGAGAAAAGAATTAAGTTCAACAACAGCAAATGTAAGTTTGTACTTACCACGCTTGTACATACAATACTGAAAAATTTACCATGTTATTTTAGGACCATAATCTTCTTAGGAGTAGTAATTTTTCTAATTAGAAGTACTCTGAAAATCAGTTGAAATAAGGTGTCATGTATAGTTTTGACTAATGTTGGTCTTGTATTTTTGCATCCAGACTGACAGCAATGGGCCGCGAGGACATATCGGACAATTTGATCAGCGCGTCTATATTTCTTCGCTTCCTTTGTCCAGCAATACTGTCTCCAAGCCTCTTTGGAATTACTCATGGTATGTATTCACATAGTAGGTAACAAATATTGTTGTTCGGTAGGCATGGCTCAGTGTGCAAGACAACAGGTACTTTAAGTATCTAAGTACTGGCAGTCTATAACACTGATACCTATCTGTTTTGTTAAACAAAATGATAAGACTAACAAGAATATTATAACACTATATTTTGCATGCGGTTTTTCTTACATCTCCAATTAATAATATATCAATCTATTCCATGAGAGCATACCTTTTTACTTGCATAAATGGAATTTAAAAAAAGTAACTTTGAGAATTAAATTTCACTATGAAATCATGATAAATTAAAAAAAAAATTGTGTAGGTATCTTTTTTTAACAATAAAGTTTACAAATAAAAATATTTTGACAATTTTGGAGTCTATTCTAATAATCCCTATTCTACTGCAAATTGACCAAGGGACTAAAACCCAGTTTGTACGACATTACTATTGTAACGATTTTACGTACAAACATACAGACGGTTTCAATAGGCCCGTACAGGACAGTAGGTGGAATACGTCATATAACATTTAAGTGGTTTGCGTAGTTTATTGTTCAGTGCACATGGATGTAATCCATTAATGTTCATCTTCTATTCCAGAATACCCGAACGAGCGCGCGGCTCGTAATCTAACGCTGGTGGCGAAGACCTTGCAGACACTGGCCAACTTCACACGCTTCCAGGGCAAAGAGGCGTTCATGGAGTTCCTCAACGACTTCTTAGAACTGGAAGCACCCAACATGAAGGCCTTCCTTAGAGCTATATCGGTAGGTATACACAGAGTTTGTGTATTATGTCAATGTATAATAACGTTGAAAATTTAGCAATTGGCATAAAAATACAACCAATAGTTTGAAACAGCGTAAACATGTCATATTGATAAGTAATTTATGTTAATTTACAGACGCGTCCTCTAGAACAACAACAACTGCAGCAGCAACATCAGCAACAGCAACAACAACCGCAGCAACAAGACGGCAGCAAGCGCAACTCAGCCACGTCCCATACGTCACAAAACTCGCACAGCTCCGAGTCCAAGGATTGCGTTGACCCCGACCCAGAGTGGGCACCTCACGTCGACTTAGGAAAGCAACTGGCCACGCTCCACTCGTTGCTAGTGGACAGCTTACCAAAGTTACCCACTAATAAGATACAGGTGTGTTTAAATATATTGAAATATGAAAATGAAAGTAACACGTATGTGGGTTGATATGTGTATGAGAAACGAGCCCTATAAATATTATTACTTACTTCATCAAATCACAATTTGAATTTGACTCGATTGTGTAAACAGGAGACAAAAGTCCCCTATTTCATATAGAAAAAAATAGTACGATAATAAGAATTATAAGAAAATTCAACTTTGTACTGTTTCAGGAGTTAGATCCGTTGACAGATATATTAGATGAATTGAGCAAGAGATTGGTGAGCAACGACATCACCTCTTCTACGCAACCGGTCACTGACAACATCTTTAGGTATGTGTGGCCTTAGATAGGAAAAATTTAATAAATTAAATTTAAATAAAACCAAACGTTTTCTACTATAGACATTAGACAACTAATAAAAAAATGTTTTTAGGTTTAACGATCCCACGTGCAATACTCCGACGAAGCCAGCCAACGAAGCCCTGGTCATTGGTCAAATGAACAACAATTTTGCTCACAGTTCACCCATCATGAACAAAAATGGCATTCAGTTTAACATTAGCCCGTCAAAATCGAATGCAGAAGACTCTAAATATAAACCAGGTTATGCAACTGTTACAAAATCTCCAAGTTTCAATATAAGATCAGCAACATTGCCTAGAAAAGGTTATGGATCAAACCAACCTAGCCAAGCTGTTAATCCTGATAGATATAGTTCACAGTATAACAATCAAGAACATTGTGTAAATTTAAAGGTTGTGCAAATCGGATTCAGCTCAGACCAGTATCCTAAAGGCATCAGTAACGGTATTGGCGAGAGCTTAGAGCGCAGGTTCCAAGACAGGTACAAACCCAACAATTACAACCAACAGCATTTCCACACCTCTAACTATAACACAGAAAGATCTCCGAGCAACGATAGCATTAACCATAATTACTCCTCCAATGACATGCAAAACATAATGAAAGAAACAGCAACCTTAGAAGAATTGTCAGATCTCTTGAAATATGCTGACGACACCGGAGATATTGTTGAGGATAAACTCATTATGAATAAAAAGAATTTGTCCAATAACAACAATATCATCAATGGTAACAAAACTAACTACACGAATAACGGCTCGAACGTTTCCATCAGTGGACTCTCTAACGTTGCCAGTTCAGGCTACCAAAGCATTGCAACTTACAGCCAAAGTTCGAGCCCAATTGAAAACACGACGCACCATCATCAACCTTATGAGAACGGCGGACAGCCCATGAGTCGATACTCTCAAATAAATTACCAAAAACAAAGGGATAAGCAGTATTACGACAGTAAAAATGAAAAGTTCTATCCAAAGAGCCCAGTGCAACAAAAAATTGAGTATGATATACAAAAATATGGAATACAAAACTTTACAACTGCCGATAATACACCATCCAACATAAATGTGAACTCAAAGGTAGCCCCGTTGGTGTTCACGAACCCAGTTTACAATATGGATGACAATCGCCAGTCCCAGGAGAAGAAGAACAATGAGAATAGAAACTCAAAACATTGTCCCTGTGGCTCATCCAGTTCATCAATAGATGAGGAGGGCTTGAGCACGGACAACGTAGAGACTAACTCAGAAGAGGGTTCTACTAATTTCAATGAGGATAGTAGAAACTATGACCAACAGAATCGCAACAATACCCACCGTAAACTAACCAGAGATAATTGTAATTATGAAGACATATACCAGAGAAGCAATCAGAGTCACTCTCCGAGAATAAGGGACGACGAATCCTCTAGTAATTCGCCAAGTCTACGAAAAAGTAGTAAAACGCGAATGCCTAGAACAAACCCTATGCTCTCTTACTCCACAAATCAGAATCAAATTAACTTCAAGCACTTTGGCCAAAGAGGCGAAACTTTATACGAGAGCAAGCCTCACCACATTTCAACAGATTCTGGTTACCCGATGAGCAGGTCAGAATCAAACGTAGAAGAAGTTAACAAGGAAATGTACAGGTTACAGATTTCTAGAAGTCAGAAGGCTCTCTACAATATGGAGAATGCAAAAAATTCTCCCGAAAAATTTTCCATGACAGAAAGCGCAATTCCAGAGACAAATTATCCTTTGGATAGGACGTATTCTGGTGCGAAAATGTCTAGTAGTAGATTAAATGAAGATCTAGATAGGCATCAAGAGTATTATGGCGTACGGGAAAGGCGGGAATCTCCTTCGAGGGGTATTTTCAGTCGTGAGTCCGCGTCGAGCGAAGCGAGCGAGCGCGTTACAGTTCGAAGTGAAGTTGTGACGCGTGACAAGCCGCAGAGGCGCCTCAGCCTAGAGTCGGCGCGGGACCTCACTGATAGTTCCGATGAAGTGGAGGATACACTTTACAGCACCACTGGTCGAAGACGCGTCACCAAACATCACAGGACCATTGAGCAGGTATGTTTTCCTAACTAAAACTAGTTACTTTTTTAATATGAGAGTACAAAAGTAAAATAAAAATTTTGTTTTTCCAGTATGAAAGAGAAATCGAGAGGTTAAAACGTTCCGTGGAATTATTACGGGGGAGGTTGGGACCGGCTGAACCGGGCCAGGACCCTACTGACGCGAAAATGAAGGCCATCATATCCAGGTAACATACTTCAACGATTGTTACATTTTAGCATGTTATTGCCTTTTCTTTATTTTGTGATGGTTTCACTTTATGTAGAGGTTACTGTGACATCGTGTTTTTTTTAAAGGAATATTAATTCAGAAGTTTTACCGCTCCTGATTTAACTTCACTATTCGAACAATGTTGTAATTTATTGGAAATTAAAAAACTTCTAATAACATGTAATATTTTTACAGACTGATATGTGTGGAGGAGGAACTAAGAAATGAACAACGCAAGATGGCTGCGGCGTTATCCCACAAACAACGTGTGATCGAGGCGCAGGAGCATCGCATCGCGGCGCTGGACGAAGCCAACACGCGGCTGCTGTCGGCGCTGGTGCACCTGCAGCAGCGCGCGCCGCTAGCGCCGCACGCGCACGCCGCGCCCACCGCGCACGCGCACGCGCACTCCACGCCCGGCGCGCACGCGCAGCACGCGCAGCACTCGCACCAGGAGCTACAGATATAACACAGCGAACCTTCTTGAACTTCAAATATCAGCTTATCCGAACACTCGATCAGAATAATATTTTGTGATGTGATGTTATAGAAATCAGTACCTTCAGTGTATTTTATAAAAAAATCAGTTGTTCATCGAAAGTCGAAGTAGAGGCGCATATGTAAATACCGAACCATCCAACACATCCACCAAATCGTAATGTATACTTTAATTTGTTCATAATGAGCGCATTGACATTTCCAAAGATCAAACGCTCGGTCGTTTGTCATTCATGCTCTAGGACGTTATCTTATACATCATCATATTATTATCTCGTAAATGGACCATCACTGTTAAACACAAATCTCTTTGTTTTCTTTCATGATCGATTGATACTTGCTCGGTCATCGATTTGCCATACACTTTGTATTTGCTCTGTGGTCATACTCATGGAAACTTAGCTTATTACTTGAAGGAGAAGATTGTTGCCACAGCTTTAGGTTTTTAGCTGGTTATTTATAAAGAATACTAAGTAATAATACAGAATAAGATAAAAACTGCAGTAAGATATCTTAAAAACCACTTCTCAGTTCACAGATTCAGCAAACTACAGAACAAATAAAATAAATTCTAATTATTGCCTCCCACAAGAACGAACCTCTTACAATATCACGTCAAATCAATGTATAAGAACAATATGTGTGTATCTTCTTCACTTCTTACAAATCGGACGGAAGAGATTTCATAATTTATTGTGGTTGTATTTTGTAAGAATGTGTTATTGCTCGATAGGATGAATGTATGGAACTGTTGGCTCCCCGTATACATTTAGTTCCGAGTACCTACATGATAAGTAGAACAACATAATTATACATATATATAAAATCACTTCTTCGCACAAATGTAGTCCCATTGAACTCTGTGGTCCCATAATAGAACGTCTATGTTGACCAATGTAAAGTTCTGTACGTATGCACAACAGTTTACTGTTCTGCACTCGTTGTTATTACATATTAATATTATTGCTTAATATCTTCTGTGTACGCAATAATTGTTTTGCCATTTATCATTTTTGTTACATTGTTTCGTTAGTTTTATTGAGATATGCTTTAAATGACATTAACTTTCATATATCAGTATTTTCACAATTTGATGGTACGTTCGCTTCACGTGTCGGATGTTTCACTAACAATGATACCAAAGACGATTGAATATCCCATAGACTATAGTTGTAGTGGTCCAATCGAACCCGCTGCGATTGCAGTTCGTGTTGTATTTTAAAATAAAACGTTATAGATTTTATAATAATAATAATATAAGACTTGTATGATAATATTCTTAGTAATACGATAAGTTAAATGTGGTATGAAATCTAAATTTATTTTTAATACCTTTGGAGTATTATAATGTGGAATATTGAAAGTTAGGTTGAACGATAAATTTCAAGCCTCTATTAAGGTCAATGTTTTTGAACCATAATTTTACAATTCGAAATTGCTACATACATAAATGCAAATAGATATACCGCATAGGTATCAAACTTATCACATTAAATTATGAATTACGTAAACTTGACTTTTAATTCACCCTTTTAACAGTTAGGCTGTATTAATTTTTCTATATATGTTCACATTAATTAATGGATTGATTTCCAAAACTTATTCTTTTCGATTATTGAATTCAGATGTAAGAAGGAGTTAACCCTGAAGTACATAAACATTGCGATAAATGAGAATCACAAAAACCAAACGAAAAGTTATATAATAGTACACGTATAAAACCCATCAGAAGAGTTTATTTCTGCAGGATTGATACTAAAAGAATACTTATACTTCACTGGCAATCGGATTGCCTAATTTGCAGAATGTATTGTTACCAGTTTTTCGTTAAAGGCCTTGCCTTGGTATTTATGTTTCATCAACCTTCACGATCACATTTAAATAACGAGTTCCTGCTACATATCTAAATCTTCAGCACCTCGCGGCAGGCAAACATAGCGTCCCACTCGCATCGAATTTGCTCTTTCTTGTACTTCTCTCGCAATATAAGGTATTAGTTGTATTTCTTCCATGCAACTAAACAAATAAGAAAAATATATTTGTCGAAATTGTTTGTCTCGCATTTCGGCCTGAAACATGGTCCGCCAAAACAAGTTTATAAGTTTAGCGTGTGATCTGTACAATGCTAATTTGTACCGATTATTGAATATTTTAAAATTATTATTTAGTTTTTGCTTCTCCAACCACGTGGTGTGACCACCGAATTGTGCTTCCTTAGGTACCGGTACGTGGCCGTAAGATTTTGAAGCGAGTGTAGTGAAAAACGCCCAATAAGTAGTACTCTTTCGTAACATATCTGCTTTCTCTTGTCGATTTAATGGACCATAGATCCGACGTCTCATCCATTCTCTGAGCTCTGGGACTAAATGTAGGTCAGGTAAGCGTGCGGCAATGTTCAGGCGCCTCATAAAACGTATTGCACATCTCAAGTAGTCTTCGGGTCGAGGTCGCGATCCCAAGCAAGTATTAGAGCGGTCTTTTTTTTTCTTTTTTTTATCTTCTTTAACGACTTTTATACCGGTATCGACCTGTAAAAGACTGTCGGTCTCCCAAACCCTTTTGAATTCTTTGTCAACATGAAGTTCCTTTGCGTCTGTATTAAATATGGTGTGATAGTTAAATTGCAATGCAGAGTGTTGAGTAGGTTTAACAAAAAAAGGTAACTCATCCGGCGGGAACGTGCCCTCATTGTAGAAATCATATCGATGACCGCAGTAACATTTAGTATTTTTAATGTATTCGAAAACAGTGTCTTGCCATTGTTTGACGCAGTTGCAAGGCTGAGGTTTGGGAGGTGGCTGTCGTCCTCGGTAACCGCAATGTATGTTTACATTTTCATTTTGCACATTTGTATATCCTCCGTGTATCAGGTCACCTTGCGCGGGTAATATACAAACGTTACCCAAAATATACCATGCCTTACCATTATACTCATATACACCGTTAATAGTATATCGAGTATTGGTCATACCAGTGGAAGGGGCCACTGGTTTTCTTCTATGTGTTTTTTTCTTCCTATTAGATGCCATACCATATACCTTTTTGTTCTCGATGTTCGGCTTTGACTGACGAGACTTAGCTTTACCAGATTTTAAAGGTTTTCCCTGATATTCTGAGGCTTCTGGTTGTGCCGGATGAATGCGCAGTATACCCGCTAACTGATCGCATACGTCTTTCGGTATTGTTTTTTTCGGCGGAGGCGGAGGCGGGGGCGGTGGTGGCGGTTTCGTTATGATCGGCTCTTCTTCGTAAGGATCATTAAGGTCGTCTAAATTGGGAAGCGGAGGGGGTGGTGGGCGCTTTAGTACAGGCCTCTCATAAAGAAATGCCACCATTTTTTGTAAGTATGGAGATGCTACAGGTGGCTCCGGTTTTGCTTTAGGCTTAGGAGGGGCCTCTCCGACTGTAACATCTGGACGAAATCTTTCCCGAAGTAAAAATAACAAATGTTCCATGCCTAAATAAAGAATGGCTGATAAAATAAGTTTAGCGTTTAGAGAGTAAGACTCGCGTTTACCTTCTATGGAAAAGCCAAAGGTTGCTAGATATAACTGGGCAAGCATCTCCATTCCATCATGATTACATATGTCTATACAGTACATAAGGTCTTTCCGACTCGGTCGTGGGTAAAGGCCAAGTGATCGCATTATACTTGCGGTCCTGTGTGGTCGACCTTCAAGATCGTCTTGGTAGACGGCGACGTTCAAGTTGTCGAGTGCCTTCCTTTGCGGTACGCTAAGGGCATGATACCACCGAGGTCCAACAGCATTAGTTATACTAATAAACATTTTTTTTTCCCTTTTCTTGCGGACATCTCTTAGCTCTTGCATGAATATTTGTCTTTCGCGCATCTGCCGTGAGTACACCACTTGTATGCGCTCTTTGACGCGTTCCTCATGGCTCGTTGCCGCAGGTGCTCCATCGCCATGTCCCATTTTTGTCAAATACTAAATCGACTTATGTTTTAGACGATTAGTTAATTACTTAGTAGAGTTAGTTAGAGACTGTGATATACTTGATCACATTTATTGTTAGACTATAATTTAGAAAAAAAATATCCCGCAGATAATATGAATGACAATATAATATTAAATGTCAATGTATAAAATGTTTGGTGTGTTTTTTTTTTAACACAGAAAAAAAAGGATTTAACGTGAAGATGAATACTGTACAGCCAGTGCTTAAATATCCAATGATGTACAAAAAAAAAATGGCACGCCGGGAGTGCCGACAGAAGTGAAAACTTCAAAATTAATTTTCTTTTGATTATAATAGAGTTCAATGGTTTGAGTTACGTGAATATTTGTTATAAGATGATGACTAATATACCTAATTAAAAAAAAAACAACGGAAAAGTTTTTGAATTGGTAAGTATTTTCTATCAATAGGAAAAACTAGAGATAGCATTTTTAAAGTAGTTTGGCTATGGGGGTCTGAGGTATCAGTTCATTTTGGGAAAGGGGTCTCTTGCTCAAAATAGTTTGGGAATCCCTACTCCAAGGGATCTATATAACCAGATATCATCGAGATAGCCTACCGGATTGGCAAGCTGAAGTGCCACATTAGCTGCAGAACCGACAACCGTTGGCAAAGACGAACTGAGTGGAGACCGCGTCTCGTCACACGTAGTGTAGGACGCCCACAAGCCAGGTGGAGTGACGATTTGCCCAAGATGGCTGGTAGGAGCGAGAAGCGAGAAGCCCAAAATACAACTAGGTGGCGTGCAATGGGAGAGGCCTATGCCCAGCAGTGGACTGCGATAGGGTGATGATGATGACTAAGATGTTTCATGGAGAAGCAGTTATTTACTCAAAATCTTTAAAGATAAAAATACAACGTTAAAAAGTCGATAACTTATTGGCACCAATGCTAAAAAACAGGAATTGTGATGAATTCATATTCCAGTGTTATTGCCACTGGCTTGGTCACCATCAGGGATTTTAATTTTTTAAAAATTAAAAAGTTATGTCAGTCAGGGGTCAGTCTCCCAAGCTTATATCACAAAAACTAGGGTACGTAGCGAAGATCTGTTTTCTCTCAAATTTAGTTGTTTATTAGTCGGAATTTGTCACCAAATATCAGAATTTATTGGTCTTTGGTTCAAAGTTATAAGCGTTTATAGGTGCCCGACCTGGGGAGAATCTACCCTGTTTGGCCACGTTTATATCTCAAAAACTAGGGCACCTAACCAAGATCTGTTTTCTCCCAAATTTAGTCGCTAGTTAGTCGAAATTGCCTGTGGTGACGGATTAAAAATACGAAGTGTAACCCCCCTATTCATCTCGCGGAAGTCGTAAGAGCCGACTAAGGGCGCAAATTATGCAAGACAACCACACTGCAAAGAGAAGGAAAACTTGACACAAACCCTATACCAATCCGTCTGGCAAGCATGGTATAGTAGGCCAAAACCTCCTTTCTAAGGAGAAGTGTCCAGCAGCGGACTATTAAAGGCTTATGATTTGATATGAAAGCCGGAATTTGTAGCCAAGTCGATCTTCGGTCGGTCTTAGTTTAGAAGATATAATGAGTTCAATTTTAAGGTAGGTATAGTCTAAAGCTAGACCGAAGAATTTACGAAAAATCATATGTATGTGTACTTCCAGTTTTCTAGGGTAAAGTCCTTTTAAATGACAGAAACAGATAAATTCTCAATTAAATACATGTTTGTATGTTTTAAACGAATAGTTTAGAGTAACTTGACGTTACTGCAAGATGATCTAAACAGATTAGTTTGCTGGTGCAACGACAACAAAATGGTTTTGAATGTTGACAAATGCTGTTATATTCGCTTTACTGGTAGCTAATAACTGTAATACTAAATTGTCTGGGGTTTATACAATATCTGACCAACGTATTCAAGAAGTCGAATGTGTTCGGGACCTAGGTGTTATTCTTGATAAACAATTAAATTTTCGGGAACATTATGATCACATAGTCTCTAAATCACTTAAAACTCTCGGTTTTATAATAAGAGACACTAAGAACTTCTCTTCTGGTCTCTTATGGCATACTGCTCTGTAGTATGGCAACCGCGTTATGAAGTTCATTTCAATAAAATTGAAAGCGTCCAAAAAAGATTTATGTACAACTTGGCATATAAATTTAACTTCTCAAAGAAGCTAACTAGTTAAACAAACCGACTAACTTATTTACAACATTACATCATTAAAAAAGCGGCGCAAAATTTTAGGTCTATCTTTTTTACATAAGTTAGTCAATGGTAATATTAATTGTCCTAATCTGCTACAAAAACTTAACATCTCTAGCACCTAAAAACTTCCACGACTGTCTAGATATCCTTGTTCACACCTAAGCGATCCAAAACTAACATTGGCTGTTTCTCTCCTTTAAATAGGCTCCAGGCAGAATATAATTATATTAGTAAAAATAAGGATATCGATATGTTTATATTAAGGTTACCTTCTTTTAAAAAGAAACTATTATTGTTAAGGTCAGTTATACATATAAGGATTTATGTTATGTTTTATATTGTAGATATTTAAGTTGTTATTATGTAAGAAAATCACTGCTTAAGTTTTTTTTAGCCTTTTGTTATTATGTTCTTGTTGGTTGTCCAAATAAATAAAATAAAAATAAAGTAAAAAAGCTTCACTCTGCGAGGAATTGTTCGGACTCATACCGGCCGCAACTTTCCGCCATCGTTCCACACTGCAAAATTTTGATCCCCATCACATAAAAATTCCACACACATTTTGCCTCGCACAATAAATCTGTGAAACGGGTTATCGTCTTTTTTTTTTATTGGGACTAATCCCACCCAGAAGCCCACCACTGTAACTCCTGTACACCAGGATCCACAGCAGTGACCCACGAACACACCGAGAAGAAAATTAATCAGAATTATTTATTATTAATCAGAAGAAAATTGGAGGAGTTGGAAATACAGTAAATCCACTTCCCTCCTTAGCAAAGCGGGAGACAAAATGAAGTAAAATAGGCATACACCCTTTTAAACAGGGAAGCACCACGGCCACAAAATATTATGGGTCCTAGGTGAGCTATATTTGATTTCTATAATATGTATGGCAGAATCGCCTAAACGCACGGAAATTCACCCTAGTGGACACAAGATCCCCATAGTATACCGCTCCAGATGTCACCTGCAAGCTATTAAGCATTATATTACGTTCATTATACCAAAGACTACATTCCGAGAGGATATGATGAGCAGACTGTTCATAGTGAGAGTTAGGTGTTGAGCATTGACACAATGGTGACCCGACTAATTTAAATGAATACCGCTTGCTCTTAAAGTTACCATGACCCGTAAGAAATTGAGCGACACAGTGATCCACCTCAAGCCGTGTCCTCGACAACCGTTCGCGAACAGATGGAAAGAATTGGTAAAGATGGCGCCCCTTAGATGATTCGTCCCAGCGTTGTTTTCATTCGTCTATGAGATCATTACAGACATCGGACTGCTGTTGAAGCAATCTTGTAATTGAACCGCGATCCCGCGCGCCCAAAAAATCGCTTTCATGTTTTTTTGTCTTGCATAGTACATGGCTGCACGTCCCTGCACCTCGAGAACGACCGGAAGCACACCCGCCAACACCGGCAAACCCTCAGTCAGTAACCGTCCTATATGCCTTGCACAAGAATATCAGCGCAAGTCGTTGGCCTTGTAACAGTTTGCGACGGACAGGCCTACGGTCGCCCTATCGGCCCATACGGGTGCATCATAGCACATAGAACCTAAATAAGTAGCTCCGTATATGATCTTTAATGTATTAAATGATATACCCCATGTCGCAGTTGATATCCTTGTCAATGCACAGAAACTCTTTTTAGACTTTTCATTAACTATTTTAATATGTTCGATAAATGAAAAGTTTCTTTCTAAAACTAATCCTAAATAACAGACTGAGGTTTTATTTTTTACAGTGACATTGTCAATTTTAATTCTCGGCTGTTTTTTGAGGTTACCTTTTAAAAGTAGCTGGAAGGTTTTGTTGGGTGCAAAAGTTAAGCGATTACGTTGACCCCATTGAGATATCAGGTTCAAACATCTATTGGATAATCTCTAAAGCCCTAGTATTAGATTCCACCAGTAATAGGCCGTCATCAGCATACGCGTTCAGAGTACATCCGGATGGTATTGGTATCGCAAGAAAATCGTCGAAGCCGATATTCCACAAGTATGGACCTAGCACCGATCCCTGAGGACATCCTATTGTAAGCGCCTTCGACACAGAATGATGACCAAGTCTTAGTTTAGTTGTACCTTGTGAAAAGTACGAAGAGATAAGGGAATAAATATTTTTAAAGCACCCCCGTGATTTTAATTTCACATATATCTAAGAAAATAGCGAGCACGTATTGAAATTTTGACTCTGTGACAAACTTTCTAACCGATATAACAAAGTATCGTTATAGGGGTTATCGTCTGCGGTATTCCCGGACCAATACGACCTTCAAACCTTCAAGAAAAGAGCGTACTCCTTCCTAAAAGGCCGGCAACGCGTTTGTGACTCCCGAGTTGCAGGCGTTTATGGGCGGCGATGTTCACTTTCCAGCAGGTGAACTGTCTGCTCGCCTGGGCACCTAACATAAAAAATTATAATCATTTACGACAATTTTTTTGTGCTATCAAAATTAAAATTCCTGATAGTGGCCAAGCGAGTGTCAGTGACACCATATTCCAGGGTAACAAAGCGCAAAATGTCTAATAGACTTACGTACCTTTTTTTTTTTTTTTTTTTAACGTGTGGAAATCCCCTCGGACCGTCACCCCTCCGGGGTTTGCGGCGGGGTGGTGTGTCGGACTCGGACCGACTAAAACCACACGGTGAGCCACTCTGCGCCTGTAACAGGAGGGATCCGGGAACAGCTGTTGTTAAGACATCCGGACCCCTCCTAGCGCCAGCCCGCTCCTGGTGCGGGCTCCGTCTCAATGTTTTTGTTTTCCTCTCTT